TCAAATGCGTGCGCGTCAGCACGCTGTAGTCTTGCCTGAAAGCAGGCGAGAAAGGAACCAACCTAAACAAGTCGATGTTCCGCAGGATGATCGTGTCCTGCCTGAAATATGTATTCATAAGATCGTGCTGGGTAACAAACGCAGATCTATGACGTCTCGTAACGGCCGTAGCGGGGGTGAGCGCAGCGCTCACTTCCGCTTTCTTCATCATCTGCTCTTGCTTCGCGGTGCCCTCGAACTCCGTCTCGGTCTCCGTCTGAAGCTCCTCGGTCTCGGTGGCTGTCTCACCTTCCGTGGCGCTCGGGGTGGTCAGGTCGGCGAGGGAGGAAACGGACTGGGAGCGCGAGCTCGAGTCGGAGGCGGGCGTGCGCCTGAGGGGGGTGCGTTGCGCGATGGGCTTCCTCTGTCCGTATGTCCGCTCGATGTCTGCGAAACAAATACGAACGGTCTAGCGATTGGGTTTGAAGGGTGTTTCGGGACTTACGCGGGTTCTCGAAGCCGACCAAGAATCCGAATTGCGCGGCGTGCGCAGCGAGGCTCACGAACAGCACTGGGTAGCTGCCCACGATGAGGGACAACCCGTAATACCCGGCGTATCCTTTACCAACACGTCAGCACAGCGCCTGCACCCATCCCTCCGACACTTACCGACAGAATACATCGGGTGCGGCGCGAGCTCGAAGACGCCGTCGAACACGAGATTCCCGCGCTGGAAGAAGCAGTCGCCCCAGTACCAACCGTAGTCCTTGACGACCCCGTGAGCCTCGGTCTTCACCCACAGGTTGAAGCCGATCATCGCTATTCCCCCGATCCACCTAGGCAACATGAGCACGAGTATATCGAAGGAGCGGTAAGATAGGCGGGTGAGGGGGATTACCTCATTATGTGCACTGGGATGGAGAGGCCGTTGGGGACGCGGAAGCACGAGAATGCGAACATGCAGTACGCGAGGAAGTCGCTATAGGGGAGTGAGTGTGAATGGTGGGGCAGGTTGCGAGGAATGCGTACTTGAGAAGTATGATATCTACTACTTGGCGGAAGAGCAGCCATGTATTGTACTCTAGGGGTAAAGCCTGTAAATGATTAATCAAGTCCGTGTCACTGTATTGCGATGAACAAACATCAAACGAATAATCCTGCCCCATCTTCCCTTGCAGCTGCTTCCGTATCCAGTCCCTCATCTTGGGGTTGCGCTTTTCGTCCAGCCACCCGAGGCGCTGGACCTCCTTGACGATCCACCTGCGCTTGCTCTGCCGCGTCAGGACCCAGCCGAGCCCCGCGTCGTACGCGAGCCGCCAGAACGCAAAGTACACGAGAAAAAACGGCTTCCGCAGGTAAGAGGGCAGCAGGAAGAAGAGGAGCAGCTGCGCGCCGAGCAGGGCGAGGTTGAGCAGGTCAAAGTGCGACTTTGGGTAGGCGGGGTGGAAAAGGGTGAGGACGTCGTGCGTTGTGGGGACGCAAAAAACTGGTGCGCCCGATATTTCAGTGATTGCTCTTGGGCTTCGAGGACGATATACGACGCACCTTCGCCGCTCGGAGTCTTCCCCCACACCACCTCCTCGCGGGGCCGTACCCTCTTCTCGTCGCCGGAAAGTGGTTGTTCCTGTTTCTCCCTGGACAACCGCCGCTGGCGCAGCTCGCTCTGCGCTGGCGTCGCCATGCACGACGAAGAAGACGTAAGGAACTTGCGGCCTCGTCGACTTGAGCAGCCACCCTTTAACCTTTGGCTTTCACGTGGCGGCGGGCACTGACAAACATGCCCAAACACGCCTACAAAACTTCAAATTCGCGACATCTTGCGTCTTTGACACGTCCGTCTCCGTCGTCGCGCGCGTCTTCAGACCTCGAGGTTGTCGGGGGGATGAAGACAAAGACGCGTGCTGTGTCCGCGCTCTGCTGATCGCGTGATGTCATGCATCTGCGCGGGTTTCTCCGCGAACTCGGGTTGATCTATTCCCGGACGCGCTCTCCGCTCGCTCTGAGTAGATTCTGCTTGTCCGCGCGCCCAGACTGACCACCCGCCTGCGCCTGTCATCGGCCC